TTATTGACATAAGTTCATGAAATACTAGTTCAATAAAATTTTGAATGCGAGTCAACAAACAAGATGACATGGCCTTTGACCCGTGACCCACCTGGAAAGGGTTAAATAAATAATGATAATAAAATCCTACCACTTCCAATAGTTGAGCTTGCCTTCTGTTTCTAACCTGCAAATACAAAATTTCAAGATTTTAGATAGTACTACTTACATTGTTGAGCAGAGATAGAAGGGTTACTGCGACTTTCAACTCTTCTATCAGGCATAGGCTCCATGCAGCACTGACACAACACATGAGTTTGATTAGGCTGACAGACATATATAGGTGGATCAGTAGTACTGCCAGCTGCTATTTCAAAATCTGTGAAAATAATATTACTGAACAATCAATTTAAAACAAAGACGCATGAGGAAAAACATACATTTATTTAAAATTGGGATTTCCATAGAGTTCAAGACATTATAAATTTTTTTTTTCTTTTTTCAAGTGTCTTTTTCTTATTACAATATATATATATGATAAGATGAAAACAAAAATCCACCGTTAAAAAATAATACATAGACTACAATTGTTTTTCCAAGGCAGTTTGAACTGGAAGGGAATACAAACAAACAATAATACTCAAGAATGAACAGATAATTATACATTAGAATTTTTTTTTACTTAGTCACATTTTTTGTGATTCCAAAGTATAAATGTTTCAAAAAGTAGTCTGTATAAAAAAATCCATATAGAAAAACTTTAAATATACAAAGAAACTAAATTCAGAGTTAAACGCAAAAGACATTAGTAATTTTAACAAATGTTTTTAGTCTAAAGTATCACCATTGTATTCATTATATCAAAGTTCACAGGACATCATGAGAAAGCATCCAAATTCAACAGTATTCAGCAACTTCTTAAAAATCATATTAATATTGTAAAGTTGAGCAACTATATGTTACAAAAAGTCTGAGCATGTTGTACAATTTCCATAAAAATATGCATGGTATACCAGATGGTTCATTTGGGTATCCTTGTGAACTTCTATCATGAACATCTGTGGAGACTGACTCTCTGTTACCTAGTGAACCTGTGCTGCTGCTGTTCTGGTTTGTTTCAGGAGGGTTATCATGTGATGGAGTTAGTTCTATATTAGCTATAGACACTTGAGTATTGCTTCTCTGGTGCACATCGCCAGGGCACTGTCTGCATACAGTTGGTGGAGGCCTGGTGATAAAAACAAAGGATAAATAGTTATTGTTCTGAGAAATACTGAATGGAGAGCAAAAAAGAAGTAATAGTGAAATAAAAAAGAAAAGGGAAAGACAAGGGAAAATGAGGTACTTGGAAAACTAATGCAAATAAATTAAGAAAAACAGAATATGAATAATGTGAAATTAAAAGGGGTTAACATTAAAGAAAAACGAAAGGCTAAACACATGATGGAAAGGCAAGTTCATGATATAATAATAATAACTACAAATTAAAATAAAGGAAAGTAAATGCTAGAGTAAAATGAATGTTTAACATAAAATGATTAGTACACAATTTAACTTAAATATCTGTTGTGTTAATCTATATTGTCTTAGAATATTTAAAGTGAATTATTATATTACAGTTTGACTTTTTTTCCAGCATTTCATGGTGGGTCATGTACTTTTGTATTATCAGAGAGAGAGAGAGAGAAAAAAAAGATACATCAGCACTTTGAAAGTCTGAGAATCCTTGCATTATTCTATAATGATATTAATCTTTTCCCTTTTCAGCTTGCTCTATCCAACAATTTTTAAATATTCTTTAAAACTTTTCAAAGCTGTGCTTCAAACATATATAAATGATCAAACCATTTCATGCAACACCAAACAAAGGTTACAAAAACTAAGTAGAAAAATATGAGGGAAATACTTGTAAATCAAGAACTGGATAATATACTCTCAAAGGATGATAGATTCTTCACAAATATAAAGTTATTCTTTGGTAAGGGCAGAAAAATTATAGAAAATTGGCAATTGCAATGTTTACAGGTATAAATTCTCAGAGTTGTGGAGAAACGAAAACTTGAATACTTTTTAAAATCTTTCTTCATGAATTTCACTAGATAAATATCAAACATTACAAAGTATCAATTTTAAAATATTTGTGAGTTAACAACGTTGGAATAATGTTAATATTAACAAATATTAATCACCCAACACTACAATGAAGAATAGTTGTGGTTAAATACAAGTAAAGATAAAAATATTGTTTTAAAATGACATCACTCTGAAGCTACAATCTATAAAAAACAAACATGAAACATAGGAAGAATATATTGTAATAAATAATACAAAAATCACTGGCATTTAATTAAGTTATACGATAATAAGGAGATGCTTGTGTGTTCCGAATTTAATACTTTCTTAAATAATCCTTATATATGAAACAGATCATTTCAATTATTACTATCGATCCAAAATAATCTTACTATTTTATATAATGTATCTCTATAAATACTGCATACAAAAACAACATTATGTTCTCTACACACCTATGTTTGGATTCAAAAATGATGGTTTTAAAGCAAACTCTCTTAGTATTCAAAACATAAAGCAGTAAAAACAAAATGTACCTTACAGGTGGTGGTGCTGGAGAAGCTTGAAATAAGGGGATTCTTTGTCCAAACCCACTACAAAATAAAACATGTAAGCTGATTAAGAAGAACTTGATATTTTAATTTCCAAAAGATTCACCGATATTCATAAAATATACATAATAAACAACATGCTTTTCTACAATATCATAAATGAAATATTTATAATTTTGTAACAAATTAATCCCAAGTTATTTTTTTGTTTTACAGTATTCTTGTCACTACGAACAAATGCACTTTTGTTTTAGTTAAATGCATATTTCTTTTGACCCAATATTTATGTTTAAAATTTCTGCAAAAACATAGTTCATAAAAAAAACTTTTCCAATCGCAAACACAATGATAGCCTAAAAATAAAAATGATATAAACTCTTATTTCCAGACTAACACACACATTTTAGTGCATTTCTTGAAGAAAATTTAATGTTTTCTTTACATGGATATATATATATTGTGCAGGAAATGTATGTTTCAAATTATGTTAGTAAATC